TTTTATAAAAATTGAAAATTTTGTTTTGAAATTTACGGTGTTACATTGCGGTTGAAAGGAGATTGAATGTACATGACAATTGACCAATAGAATTGTGTGCATTTATTGAAACGTGCTCATTGATTCAACTAATTGTCTATTTCACATGTTTGTTTGATTAAGATTCCGCATTAACTAAAACAATTGCAATTGATACCTTGCAAGATCCGAGTTTAGGGACTTACATTGGATAACATGAGAACTATTGGTCTAAGGCCTTATTGTGATGTTCTCATATGATTCTTCAATCTCAGGTGGATCATATGTTCAAATGTGTATATGATCCCTTACACACGATGTGGTATTGTCTTTGACCAAGTTGAACGTTGACTTTTCATCAGTTTTTACCTGGGGTCAAACTTGGAGGATTTGGGTCATTTATTGAAGATTTATCTATCTTGGTGTTAGTCAGTTTGTTGGATTGAGCAACATAAGGTGTGTGAGTGTTATTGTATATTCAGTTCTTAAGTTCATCTGAAATTCTTACTTTGTCACGTATCCTATTGTATATCTTTTGCATGGTAGGATAGAGGTACTGTTATAGTATAAGTAAGCTAGTGGCCTAGGGTGAGGTCTTGTTATGCCTTATAGTTAGAGCAGTTTGTGCTTTAGTATGCTAGACTGGTAGGGTTTTCAGTGTTGATCATATGATTCTGTTTCGAGGTATGTTTGGCAGGGTAACTAGGGAAGGATTGTGCCAAAGTAATGTGTTATGTTAGTTAGGCATGTGTTTATGTTAAGTTGTTATGTTGAAGTGCTAGAGTTGGTCTTATGTAGTCTTAGTTGGATAGCATGAGAAATGTTGGTCTAAAGACTGCTTTTGATGTTCTCATTTGATTGTTCGCTCTCGGATGGATCATCTATTTGATTGTCAATCTGATCCTTGATTACATATGACTTTATGCTGTATATGCAAGACCTCAATTGTGAATTCCGACGTTGCCGGGTAACGATGCCACCAAAATAACGACGACTCCGATAGTGGTGCCTTTTGATTATTAGCTACGAGAAAATAGGGACAACACATTAGTGACAACAAGTGGTTGTTAGGCCGTCTCCAATGGTCATTTAATGGAGAGTTTAATGGGAAAAAAAACATATGTGGCAGTTGAATGGATATAGAAACCATTGTGGAGTGGGTTGATTGAATGAGGGGTTTAATCCCCATTCAACCGTGGTATGGTTTTTCTTATGTTTATTTTTTTCCCTCAATTTATTATATAAGCTTATTCTTTCTTTTTTTTTCTCATTTTGTTGTAAACACTTTATTTTTTGTTTTTCTTTCTCAATAGAAAGTAATATTTAATATTTTTTTTACAATAAACAATATATATATATATATATATATATATATATATATATATATATATATATATATATATATATATATATATATCATACTTTATTTTATTTTATATTCAATAATTTAATTTATTAAGTTACTTCATATTTTTTATTCTAAACAATAAAAAAATATATAAATCTTAAAAACATTTTAAAAAGATAACATCTTATTTATTATAATACAACATAGTGATATTACATATTAATAAAACGTTCCCAAATATGCTCCATTAAATCATGTCGAAGAGCATGATGTACGACATTATCGTGTAGTTCAGAGTTTCTTTGAATTTGATATTGAACTTCTTTGATAGGTCCTCGATTCACACGTATAGGAGGATCAACATCATCTGACCAATTACTAATTGCATTTCCTTCATTTTCTACGATCATATTATGTAATATAATGCATGTGTACATATATCCTTTATGTTTTTAAGTTGCCACGATCTTGCTGGACCTCGTACAATTGCCCAACGAGATTGAAGAACACCAAATGCTCTCTCCACATCCTTTCTTGCATCCTCTTACATTTCTTTAAACTTGATCCTTTTTGGGTCGACCGGATGTGGAAAACTTTTAACCATTGTAGCCCATTCTGGATATATACCATCTTCAAGATAATATCCTTTTGTGTATGTTCTTCCATTAACAGTAAAATTGCATTCAGGAGCATAACCTTGTAATACATCATTGAATAACGGTGACTGGTTAAGTACATTAATGTCATTGTTAGACCTGGCAACCCCGAAATATGCATGCCATATCCAAAGGTCTTGTGATGCAACTGCTTCCAACATAATTGTTGGACAACCTTGATCACCTCGAGTATATTGACCTTGCCATGCAACCGGGCAATTTTTCCAAGGCCAATGCATGCAATCAATACTTCCAAGCATACCAGGAAACCCATGCTTTTCTGAATGTTTTTGTAGTAAATTTTGGATGTCATTAGCATTTGGTTTTCTCAAATAATGGCTTGAATAAACCTCAATCACGCATCGACAAAAGTTTTATAGACATTCGATTGAAGTTGATTCACCAATTCGTATGTATTCATCAAAGAGGTCACCAGTTGTGCCATATGCCAACTGGCGTATGGCAGCAGTGCATTTTTGCAAAGGGGAAAGACCATTGTTTCCTAAGGCATCTTTTCTTTGTTGAAAATAAATAGAATGGTTAGAGATACCGTTAACTATTTGAACAAATAGTTCTCGCCTCATTCAAAATCTTCGTCTAAACGTTTGAGGTGGGAAAACAGGATGCTCATCGAAATAGTCTTTCCAAAGACGTTTATGCCCTTCTTCACGATTTCTATCTGTATATCTTCGACTTTGCCCAGGACGTCTTGAACTTTCAGCATCTGATTGTTCTGCTTCCAAGCATTTTAGCTCCATATGTAGTTGAAATGTAGAATTACTTGTGAGATGGTTGATTATTAATTCAGAAGCAGAATCGTCTGAGGATGATGATGACATCGTATAAGAAAGATATAAGAAATAGTTTGAATTGGTAGGTATGAAATAATAAAAACGTTGTATTCTTTTATAGCAAAAATATAGAGTCAAATGAAATTCAAATTAAAGTAAAATGAAATCCAAACTATATTCGAATGAAATTGAAATTAAAGTAAAATGAAATTGAAATTAAGGTGAAATGAAATCCAAATTAAAGTTAAATGAAATTGAAATTGTTGTCAAATGAAATTGAAATTAAAGTGGAATGAAATCCAAATTAAAGTTAAATAAAATTGAAACTGGAGTCAAATGAAATTGAAATTAAAGTGGAATGAAATCCAAATTAAAGTTAAATAAAATTGAAATTGGAGTCAAATGAAATTGAAATTAAAGTGGAATGAAATCCAAATTAAAGGCAAATGCATACAAGATGTTCAACTCTATAAATAAAGACGAACATATTATATTCTCATTCACACCTACCAACCATCTGATACACCAATCATGAATCCGAATTACTATACACACTTGTTATCTTCTTTTGATCCCGAAAATCCAAACAATCATCCACAACATCCAAACCCAAATCCAAACAATCATCTACAATATCCATATCCAAGTCCAAACAATTATCCGCAATATCCATACCCAAATCCAAATAATCATTCACAACATTCATACCAAAATGCATACCCAGATTCTACCAGCCCGGATCCTCCCCATATTCCAGAAAATGAGCCAACACCAGCAGAAACTCCTACCAACAAATGACAAAAAAATAAAAAAACCTACTGGAGCAAAGAAGAAGAAATGTTGTTGGCAAAAGCTTGGCTACAAATTTCAGTAGATAGCATTACTGGAAGTCAACAACGTGATAAAGAGTTCTGGAGACGAATTACTGCATACTATGAAAAAAGCAACACGTCGAACGTTGCAAGAACTCAAGCCAACCTCAAAACGCATTGGCATTACATGAACCCATTTGCAGTTGCATTTAATCAAATGTATATAGTGTTGAAAAGTCAACACCTCAGTGGATGGTCTGAGGATGATCTCAAACGTGCAACTTTTGAGCATTATCATGCTAGATATGGTGATGATATTAGGCACGAACATATTTGTAATATCGTTAAAAATGAACAGAAATGGAAAGGTTCAAGCACTGCATCTGGGGCATCTATGTCTTCATCAAATACATAATCTTTCATTAACCTGGATAATGATGAAGTTACAACTCGTCCAATTGGTATGAATGCAGCAAAAAAAACAGCAAAAGGGAAAGCTACCAATTCCACTTCGTCATCTGGTAATAGGCTTGATGAAATACTTGAAAAACATATAGAAGAAAATAAAAAGACTTTTGAACGCTATCAAAACTCTTTGGATATGAAAAATGCATTGAAAGAAAGAAAGATGAAGATTAAAGAAGAAAAGGTAAAGAATGATGAAATTTCAATTATTTTCATGGATCCCACTACCATGTCGGAAGATGGACGTGAAATTTGGAGAAATCATTGTGACAAGATTAAGATAAAATACAATATGAAGTAAAATTTGTATTTTAGATATCGTACTTTTTATTTAGTATATTATTTGTAACTTTTAATTTCTAAATTGTAATCTTTAATTAATATTTAGTAATTGTAACTTTGAAGTTCTAATTAATGTAATATTCTACTTTTATTTATTAATATTATTTATAAAAAAAATTAAAATGATGATGTGGAAATCCATTCAACTCTTAAGAGTTTAATGGAATGTAGAATTTAATAGGTTAAATGGTATAGTTAGTGGAATACTGATGTGACAATCCACTTAAGAGTTCAATGTATTAAATTTTGTATCTTTGGCACTGACAATTGTCTCCTAAATGCTGCTTTTCGTTGTAGTGATATGTCAGTAAATTGGCTAATATAAAAATGAGAAAAAGATATATTTCATAACACAAGAAATAAGGCAGGAGAGAGTCAATTTTATATAATGATATACACCGCATTTACATTATTTTCAATGAACGCGCATGCCCACACAAACACACAGATAGACTATTACATGCATGTAAACATCCATATATACATCCATCTGTGTGTGACTACATTATAGATAAATACGATTCCAGTAATAATAATGCTAAGAGCGCTTGATGCTAATTTTTTGCTTTCAGGAACGACCCATGTAAAATGTGCTGCTTGATGATTGGGTTGGGATGATGGAAGCGACACCATCTGAATAAGACATGGGAGAAGACATGTAAGATGCCACAGGCATCTTTGAGGGGAGTATGGGGAGTGAAGCTTCGCAGTTCAGTACCTGAATAATTTGCCTCATGGAGGGACGAACGACCATGTCAGGGTGCACACACCACAGCCCAATCATCATCAAACGCTTGGTTTCTTCTCCCTCATAATCTGACCCTAGTCTTGGATCGACTGCTTCTAAAAGAGTTCCAGCCCCATAGAGCTCCCAAACCCAATCTACTAATCGTATTTGGTTTTCTTGAGCCTTGTACACGATGGGTTTTCTCCCACAAGCTATTTCTAAAGCAACGACTCCAAAGCTGAACACATCTGATTCTCTGGTTGCCTTACCGGTTACTACGCATTCAGGAGCCATGTAACCTAAGGTTCCAGCCAATAACGTTGTCTGTGAACCTTTCTCGTGGTCAACCAACTTAGCTAACCCAAAATCACCAAGCTTTGCATTCAAATTTGAATCTAACATCACGTTACTCGATTTGATATCTCTATGCAAAACACATTGCTCCCATTCTTCATGTAGATACAACAAAGCAGAAGCCAAGCCTTGGGCAATTTTATACCTTGTTCCCCATGCCAACAAGCTTTTCCCCTTGAAGAGATGCATATCTAAGCTTCCGTTCTCCATGAACTCATAAACAAGCAATAATTCACCTTTCTCATGACACCAACCTGTGAGTTGAACTAGATTCCTGTGCCTCAATCTGCTGATAATCCTCACTTCTGAAGCATACTCCTTGATCCCTTGTTTAGAACTCTTCGACACCCTTTTGACTGCAACATGCATGCTCAAATCTTGCAAGAAACCTCGGTAAACCCCACCAAAACCTCCTTCACCAAGTTTCTGATCCTCTGCGAAGTCACTGGTTGACCGAGCTAATTGTTGGTAACTAAAGTTTTTCGGCCCAGTACCCATTTCAAATTCGTTGTCCATCCCAACGTTAAATCCTTGTTTCCCTTCCCTTCTTTTCTTCCTTCTCCACACACAAAAAGCAAGCACAACCAGAAAACTAATCAGCACAAATAATCCAACCATCGAGCTCACCAGAGCTGCTGTTCTGGTTTTCCCCTTCATAGCCTTTGGGCTCCAACTAGGTGGTTGCACGTTGTTTGCATTATATTGTAACTCAGAACTATTGAATGCCCAAGATTTCACAGAATTATTCTGGAAAGCATCTCCAGTTGCAGCAGAAAACCCGAAAATGACCCATTCGGGTAACACGCTCCTGAGATCAATTATGTGATGAAATTGTTGACGTACAACTGTATTATTTTGAAAACCAGTGAAGGAAACACTAAGATTTTTTGAAACAGAATCATACGTAATCCAAGCTTGACAGGCTCTCCCACCGGTTATATTACTGAACCATTTTTGAGACGTATTAGACACAAGAGAGTTACAGTTGATACCTACATGATCACCTATCAAATCATAGCTAGAGTTTCTTGGATCCCATTCTGGGTTTGAAAATGTATCAAACTCCACTGCAACAAATGGGCTCTTCGTGTGTTCTAAGCCATTGATGGGAAGCCCCATGGACCCACCGGCCAATATCACGGAATTGTTCTCGGCAAGGAAGAATGTGAGACCATCACCCTACTCTGGATCCGAGTTTGAATTAATTGAAAAGGAGAAATTGCTAGTGAAGCTTACTAGTTCACGAGAGGTGTTATCCCAGAGATGAAGCTGTTTAAAGTATGTTGCTCGTCCTGCTCTACCGTTCCTATCCGGGCCACTTACTTGGATTCCATCATCCGAGATATATCCAGCACCTGCCATCGTTATTTCCTTGAACTGGTTTTGTAGACCAATATTTGTCAAATTGAATGTGATTGTAGCTGCATAAGGGATGAGGAGCAGAAGGAAGTATGCTAAGATGAGCATGATTTTGGAAACTTGGTAAAAGGTACAGCTGAAAAACTTGTAGTCCATCGCAATTAACATGAATGACTGTAATCTTATACCTATGTTCCCTCGTCAACACGGCAACTTCCAAATAAATTATTCTAATATTGTTTGAGGAGCTCACAAGCTTGTCATCTAGTTACAAGGACGGCAATTAGGTAATCTTTTGTTCACGACCAGACTTGGCCAACTTTCATGCTGTATGAGTTCTATATTTCAAATTTTAAACCAATTATGTTATTAAGCTGTTTTTTTCATACGATAGTCATTATTAGAATAAGAATTAGAATATACAAATAAACAATTTTTTTATAATAAAATTATTTCTATGAAATTAGTAAAAAATATATATGAAAAGCAATATATATATATATATATATATATATATATATATATATATATATATATATATATATATATATATATATATATACACACACACTACAAGAAAAAACATTTACAACAATGATACCTATAGAGACGACACGTCGTCTTTATAGGGTTGACCAAAAAATTTTGACCTGGTAATCTATAGAGACGACGTGTTGTTGCAATAGGTTATGCGGATAGTTGGCGGTTTTGTGAAAAGATATAGCTACGACTTGTTGAGAATTTTGGCGGGATAATGAAAACATATGGGGACAACAAGTTAGGCGGTAATTTTTGTTGAATTATATTCTTTCTTTTTAGACACTACTATCTCCTCCCCTTCCCCGGGCCACTGATGTCATCATCCCTTCATCATTTCCATTTTAACCAAATTTTTTCCTGAGAAAATCTGCTATTGATATTTTTCGAACCTAACCTTCCAGTCTTACTCCACATGTAACGATCGATCAGTAAGTTTTCACTTCATCTGCACACGCTTATACAGTTCTAACTACACACACATATACATATTCTTCTAAGTTTATATTTCGAAGTAGAATGTAGAACGGAAGCTTGATTGCGGTTAATTTGTTGATTATTTTAGTATTTTGTAGAGCATATTTAGCCAATACTGAATTCAACTTATTAGAAAGTAGACATTGGATGATCAAAATGTTTGTTATTCGAACACGAATGATCTTTCATCTGTACATAATTATTTCGAATTTATATAGACATTTATACAAATGTCGTTCAATCGATACATATACAAAAATTCGAAGTGGAATGTACGATGATAGCTTGATAATTGATTAGCTTTGAGTAGGACATGGTAGTGGTGTTCTGTAGGGTGTATAATGAAATTTGAAGTCGAGCTATAAAGAATTGACTTGAAATTTGACATGTGGAATCTATCTGCATATCGACATTCACACATGCCGAAAAAAGTGGTTGTTTTTGTATAGACATTGAGAAAGAGTCTATGTATACTATACTTGAGCTTAAATTCTGAATGGATATATGCTTATTTTGTGTATTTTGTGATTGTGTGTTTTTGTTTTTTTTGAAGTGAAATTTGCATATGTTACAGTAGTAGAGTTTTTAGGTACTTCTGAGTTCTAATCCAGTTTGTTTCTTTAATATTTTTTGGTGGCAAATTTAAGGTCATTAAGAGATTCGACTGTGACTTATGCTTCAAATTAACTGCACATAATATACAAATTAGACTTTGGATTACTTAAATTTGGATTATTAAGCCCACATATGGCATGCATGTTTGGTTCTTTTCTGAGTATGTGTGAGATCAATTTGACTTAACAAGTGAATGATGACACAAAAAGAAGAGTTAGAAAGTGAAAAAGTGAGGTGAATATGGATATTTCATGTAGTTTTCCAATCCATGGCAGTGAAGCTAAAGATTACAGTAATCTTTTACATGTAAGTGGACTTTCTATTTTATTATTCAACAAAAAGATCACTAGAAACCTGAATATTACCATTTACCATGAAATTTTATAGTGGCAAATCTGAGTATCTGTTTTAATCTTAATGAACGAACCATAGATTTGTATAATTGTATTCAGCAAGAATACTTCGGGGATTGAGAATTGTAGTTTGTCTTGGGTTATCATTTTCAGAGGATATTGAGACAACAATTCATAAACATGCTTCATCCTTATTGTATTTAAGCCATGTATTTTTTTCATATTTTTTTAATTTTTTTATTACAATTGTTTTAGGTTGTCATATATGCTTGTTTATTCACACCAGGATCATGATGGAGGCTGATTATATGCTGTCATATGGAGTTGCCAAATCTTCAATCTGTCTTCTTCACAAATATCACATTCTTGAGATTTTGTTACCATTTCAGGTAATAATTCAAGAACACTGTAATATCTGCATTGTTGTTATATAAGAATGTAGTTAAAGTTTTAAAACATGTTTGGATTGTAGGTCGTATACATTTCTAGGCAGCCTTCTGCATCTAAGCAAAGTAGCATGATGTTAATGGTATTTAAAATTGTACTTTGTTTTTTGCCCCTTTTTCATCATAACAGCTTCATATGTGTGTTCACGTGCTAATTTGTGTTAAAAATAACATTTTAACCTCACTTGTGCATCAAGGATTAAAATCTTTTAAAAGGTCACACAGATCAACAAATCTTCCCCACAAACCCCTATTATAGATACTGGTGACCCATCATCTAAATATGAACATAGTTTTCTGTTTTTAGACAATTAATAATTGAGTTGTTGTTAGCCATAAGTGTGCAAAATGGTCATTTTCACAAATTTAACACTTTGGCTTTTGAGTTTGAGTATGAAAGAAAAGAAGGGCAAAATGGTCAATTTGGAAAATGAATAGTTCAGAAAAAAGAAATAATCATGAAAGAGAAAAGGACAAACATGTCATAATTAAAAAATTTGTAGACGGGTTGTTAGATTTGAATGGGATGAAAAAATAGATGAAAAGATCAATTAGAAAAGGGCAAAATGGTCATTCTTTTTCAAGTTTAACAGTCAAGTTGAGGGAGGTAAAATGAAGGTGATGTTTCTTTCTTTTCAATTATTACAAGGATTAATAAAATAAATTGTTAGCAAAACAATCTTTCAGTTATTGTTGCAATATTTTCCAAATGTTAGGAAGCTGCCCTAAAATTTGGAATGCTGACAAGCGAAGAATTTGATGCAAAGTTTGGTAAATATGAATTAGTACAGATTTAAAACATGTAATGTTTGAGAATCTTCATTAAATTTTTACCCTTTTAAAACATGTAATAAAATCATTTAGCATGATTTGTTGCCCTTAAATTTATTGTTATAGCTATTTTGTAAATATACTGCTTTAGCTATTTTGGGACTGTGTAGACTGGGAAAATAAACAGAAAAAAAAAAGCAGGGTGTAAATCTGTGGACATACCTATAGAGATGACATGTTGTCTCTATAGGTGAATGTATAGGGACGCCAAATCGTCTCTATAGGTGAACTACTACCACGATTTGCTGTTTCTATAGGTTGGGACTTGTCGTGTATAACTTTATCTATAGAGATGACATGTTGTCTCTATAGATGTTTCTACGGAGACGAGAAGTCCTCTCTATAGCTTTATCTATGCTAATTGGGAACGTATAGCGACGAACCCTTTAGAGATGATATGCCGTTTCTATTGGTAAGCTATTGCGACGATATTTATAGCGAAGATAAAAAGACATCTATTGCGACGGGGCTATGAGGATGAACACTATAGGGACGACTTGTCGTCACCAACATCTATAGGGACGACTTTAGTACCTATAGAGACGACATTTGTCGTCCCTATAGGTCTCATTTCTTGTATATATATATATATATATATAGTCAAGATCAAATAAGAATGAAATTTTTGATAGGAAGGTAAGAAGTTTTTTTTCTACATGTTTTTTTCACGAACAAACAAAATGAATCATTAGATGATTCATTTGTAAGATGATGTACAAGAAAAAATTCTCAAAAAAACATCTCGATGATTCATTTATATAATCATTTTGTTGATATTCATTAAAATTGTCATAAAAATGAATTTTTTCTTAATTTACTTAAAAATGAAGCATAAAAATGTTTTTTTTGGGAATTTTCTCTTGTGAATCATCTTACAAATGAATCATCCGGTGATTCATTTATTTTGTTTGTCAAAAAAATATGTAGAAGAAAACTTCGTTCCTTCCTACCAAAAAATATTTCTTAACGGATCTATATATATATATATATATATATATATATATATATATATATATATATATATATATATATATATATATATATATATATATATGGGAAAGTGAATGTACCCTTAAAGATATATAAGCTTATGTACTAAAACCTACCATAACACGTCGTTTTGTTTGATGTATTCATTATAATGTTCTTAAACTTCAACCTGTAACTTGATTTACTTTCAAGATTTTCAAAATTTCACTATTATCTTATTCTTACATCAAATCTTTATGCCTTACACCTACTAGACTATATATATATATATATATATATATATATATATATATATATATATATATATATATATATATATATTATAGTTAAACATGAAAATTATATAACAGTAAGATAAATATAAAATTTATAAAATTTTTGGAATTAAATCAAGTTAGAAGTTGAATTAGAAAAACATTGGACAATTACAATGTGTATATATGATACAAACAACATAATATGATGAGTTTGAGTACCTAAGCTTATATACCCTTAAAGGTATATTCACTTTTCCATATATATATATATATATATATATATATATATATATATATATATATATATATATATTATATATATATATATATATATATATATATATATATATATATATGGGAAAGTGAATGTACCCTTAAAGATATATAAGCTTATGTATTAAAACGTACCATAACACGTCGTTTTGTTTGATGTATTCATTATAATGTTCTTAAACTTCAACCTGTAACTTGATTTACTTTCAAGATTTTCAAAATTTCACTATTATCTTATTCTTACATCAGATCTTTATGTCTTACACCTACTAGATTATATATAAATATATATATATATATATATATATATATATATATATATATATATATATATATATATATATATATATATATATATGGGAAAGTGAATGTACCCTTAAAGATATATAAGCTTATGAATTAAAACCTACCTTAACACGTCGTTTTGTTTGATGTATTCATTATAATGTTCTTAAACTTCAACCTGTATCTTGATTTACTTTCAAGATTTTCAAAATTTCACTATTATCTTATTGTTACATCAGATCTTTATGCCTTACACCTACTAGACTATATATATATATATATATATATATATATATATATATATATATATATATATATATATATATATATATATATTATAGTTAAAAATGAGAATTATATAAAAGTGAGATAAATGTAAAGTTTATAAAACTTTTGGAATTAAATCAAGTTAGAAGTTGAATTAGAAAAACATTGGACAATTACAATGTGTATATATGCTACAAACAACATAATATGATGAGTTTGAGTACCTAAGCTTATATATACCCTTAAGGGTATATTCACTTTTCCATATATATATATATATATATATATATATATATATATATATATATATATATATATATATATATATATATATATATATATATATATATATATATATGTATATATATATATAGACACACACACACACACATAGTGGTGGGTTCCGTTGAGATTAAAAATAAAATAGAGATCCTGAAATTTAACCTCAGCCACGTATTTCATATTTGCCGTTCTAAACCTCCGACGTATCGGCGCAACAGGTATGATATAATCATAAATGATTATACAGTGCCGCCCGTTCCTTTCTCCTCCACCACCATCCCCGCCACCATAACCGCCACCGCCACCACCACTACACCACCTCTTTTAGTATCCGACCCCACCACTGTCACTTTCGTTACTTATACGACCGCCACCTCTGTCACCACTACATCTGCTGTCACTAACTGTCATAATGATTTATGATTACTGAATCTGTGAACATACATATATGATTATACCCCTCTGTCATATAATTATTTATGATTAGCCATGCGCCGTTGTTGCTTGTACGCTGGAGCAGTAGAGTGACAAATGAAAAAAATACGTGGTTGAGGTTGAATCTTAAGATATCTATTTTTTTTAATCTCAAGTGAACTGTCCTCTATATATATATATATATATATATATATATATATATATATATATATATATATATATATATATATATATATATATATATATATATATATATATATATATATAATGAATGATTTGCCAGAAATTAGTTATACATTTATAAAATAATTGATCATTCACTTATGTATATGACTTAAGACGACATTTTGTTAAAACGTGACATCAAATACAAGTTTTGGAGTCATGATGTGTCATGAGGAAGCCATAACGAGTTTTTTAGAACCTTGGTTATATCTTTCATGGTTACCTAACATTTATACTAGCATCAAAAATGTCCATCCATGTACTAAATCAATAACATTATGCATGTAAGTGCAAAGTAATAAGAATTTACAGTGAACTAATAATAATAAAGAGAGAAATGAGCTAAGTTGACATTATAGATAGAAAATTGTTTATTCCAATTAAAGGTAAATAAGACTATAAATATGAATGCTATCTGAGTTAACGTAAATGAATGGCTAAACAGAAGGCCCAGTATAAAATGAATCCAAATAGCATTGAAACAAGACACTGAGAGTTTTTCATCAATTAAAAAAAACAAGAAGTTGAGTGTGCCTTAGAAAAAATTCATGTCAAGCAACCTAATAATATACACTCTAGTAGTGGTGAACAATCTTCATCTAAGCAGCAATATCAAACAATTATCAAGAAGAGCAGTGGAACCAAATAACGTGCATGAAAGTATCCAAAACCAAACAATCTTCACGAAAGCAACCAAAATCAAACGATTTGCACGAAAGCAAAAAAAAAATAATAATAAATAAAAAATAAAAAATAACTTGTATATAAGCAGCCAAAAAAATAATCAGCCTACGTGAAAGTAGCTAAAACAAAACAATCTGCGTTAACGATGTTAAAGCAAACAAACCCTAAAGATACTAGCGAAAGCATCACAACAAAGAAAACTCAATATGCATATATGGATTGTAGTAAACTAATATACTCATCCCTCCTTTTTCTTTCCATTCCTCAAACTCACAATGCTTGCCCAACAAGCAACGAGAGTTTGCTAAACAATAACAAAACCGGAACAATAGCAAAACCCAACGAAAAAAAAGTAAATTAGAGACACAAAGCAAAACTAGAACACAAGGAGAAATGACCAAACAAATACAAACCTGAATCAAATACTCTTTTCACTAACACAAAAAATCAATGCCATAACTGGAAAACAAACAAAGAGGTTGAACCGAGACAAGAAACACTAGAATAATACCAAATCAAATACTATGAGTTCTGATGCGGATCCCATCAACACTAGCAGAAACGGAGGCAAAAACGACAACTAAAGTTACTAGAACAAAGATTGTTGCAAACAAGACATCTCTTTCTTTCAAAACATTAAACCAAAGAACAAGAATTTTTTTATTAAATAGTAGTAAGGAAGCATACCATCTATATTTTTCTCGTAATATTAAACTTAAATAGAAAAAACATTAAAACCCTTAAAAACCATGATTATAACAACATGGTAAGAAGAAAACATAAGAATTGCTCTTAACATGAAACGACTTTATTGCAAAAGTAAAAAAAAAAAAAAAAAAACAAGAAGCTTTTAAAATTAAAGAGAAAAGAACAAGAATTGAATTGGAAACATTAAGAATAACAAGAGTAGGAAACTGTAACACCTGTTACCAACATGGATCAGGTTAGGGATCAATGACATCAGACGCCTGATTTTTGGGAAAAACAACATAGTGATTGGAGCACCACGATGTGGCGTATCTTATGCATGATCGTGTGTTTAGTTCGTTGCTATGACGTGGCAAGGAAGGTTGTGGCGTGGTAGCTGTGGCGGCCCAAACCGATGATTTTTAACGTTTTCTTCATATTTATGCACGTAATCAAAGGATCAGGGCATCCTTTTCAACCTACGACCCTTTCAAACAAAACCCTAGCCTTGTTGAAGTGATTCTTGCTGTATTAGTGGTGATTCTTGAAGTTTCAAGCTTTGGATTGCATTTTTGGAAGATAGAATCGTGTGCTTGCAAGTTGGAAGAGTGCATCACTTCAATTCTTATAGCTCATGCATATTTTGGAGCTTTGGAAAGTATAAATGTAACACCTAATTTATTGAGGAACAATTGTTGGGAGTATTCCCATTTTGAGGATTGGGCATAATGTGTTGGAGGAATCATTACTGTAGCATCCAGATTACCAGGTATATTATTTTATTCCTTTATTTTTGGAGGTTGGGAGGGGACTCGGCGAGTTGGTTCTTAGACTCACCGAGTATGGTCGCAGATTCTTATCCGGGTTCACAGCTGGACTCGGCGAGTTCATGAGTGGACTCGACGAGTCCACCCTATTTAATGAAACCCTAATTTCCTGGGTTTGGGACCTATTTAAAGGG